AGTTTTCAAGAGTTTAATTTGTACGCAATTATTGATGCTACTGTATACTAATTATAATGTCCAACATTACTTTCCAGATGGATTAATAGATGGAATAATAGTTACTTTTGTACAATATGAGATTTCTAAACAATAAGTAAATTATGTTTGACATGCTAACTTTTCTTCACACATTAAGAACAACCGCATTAGCATGATTTGCATGAGGTACTTTATTGATCAACAAGAAAATAACACAGCTGCCATAGTTTATTAATGTATAGCAATTGTTTATTAAACAATGTTAAGCTAAAGAAACAATATTGACATTTTCAACGCCCGTTTATTTCTGTAAATGTTACATCTGTTACAATCTAATGACATCTGTACACTAAGAATAATGGTAGGTTCTAACACTGAATCATTCTCTCAAATAGTATTTTATTCACTATTCTTTAGGAAATGTAAATTTTAGGCACATTTTAAAAATCACAATCGACTATCATGATAAGTAGGTTACATGCCAAGAAAAGTTTTATTTTTACCAACTAATAAAAAATTTTTAAAAAATTTCAACACATTGCAATATCTGCTCTTCCCTGAGGCAAATCGGCTTGGAAATCAGAAGCTGTATGTTTTAATTCCAACTTTTTTATTTTTGATATGCACATTTAATTTTATGTATTAATTATTTACTTTATTGATAAGATCGTTTATTTTTTTTTATATTACATAATAAGACAATTTCGGCAAGCATTACTCAACAACAGGTCTTTTATTTTAGACTACAGAGTTATTGCTAAAACAAAGTACTCATTGAAGGTCGATCTATTTAAAAACGCAACGACATTTGCTCTTTTAATTATTATTTCTTGTTAGATCTATCTATTTTCAATAATTGTAACGACAAATAATATAAGCCTATAACAAGAGATTATTAACAAATAAAATAACTAAAGCAATTTAAAATTTACAATGGACACTGGAGTATAAATACGTTTATTTAACAAACAATAATATATTACTAAATATTACCGTTATGAAAGAAAAGCTAAAGTTAATTAGCTCTACGTTGAAAACATCCAAACAAAAGTAATGTGTTGTAGGCCTACGCTTTATGTTTTAACTTTAATTTTCGATATATTTTACCAGAACCTACGCTGTGCCAAATTAATGCAACTACAACATTATAAATCACACAGCATTTACTTACCACTCTTTGCTTAGCTTATGTAGGCTATTTACCCGCATCTATTATTTAACTATTTTCCTGGCACAGCTTAGCAAATACACCTCGTAACATTCATTTTGCAATGTAGGTTCAAGTCTCGTGTTTGTGTGATCATAAATCGTTTCGTTCTCCTCAAAATGTATTTAACTTTGTATTCAGGTTTTCCTAATGTTGTTAAATGGCTTCTACAAACCACAGTTGTATAATGTGTGTATATATATATATATATATATATATATATATATATATATATATATATATATATATATATATATATATATATACATATGTGTGTGGATGTGTGTGTGTGTGTGTGTGTTGGAATCACGTTACGCGAGGTATATAAAGTGTGAGTGAGATACCTAAGGTAGACTCTTAACCGTGAAAAAAAAGAGTAATATTTGTAAGACACTCAACGTAATTTCCACTTACACCAGAAACAGTTAAGGGCACTTTTAACGCAATCCAGAACTTTAGAGACTTCTGAATGGGCTCATGGAGTCAAATTTTATGTTTATTTTGAAACATTAAATTTCCGCTAACTTTACAACATAACTGATCGGCCTATTTTTTTTTTTTTTTAAATCGTTTATACTATTTTTCATGTCTCAGTGGCCCATGTGAGCCTTTGGGGGCCGAATCTAAAATTATTGCTCAAAGCCAAATCGCAGAAATACTCTCGGGAGTATTCTTCAACTCCCTAAAGTTGTATGGCACTCGGGTAAATGGTGTCGAACCGCATCCGACTTTCATTATTTTTATTTATTGTATATAGAGAAGAATCGCATCCTCCAGGGGCGCCGCCCTAGCGAAATTGAATTTTGTTTTACATAAACCTCAACTAGAGTGTTCTAATCAGCTCCCCATAGTTTGATCACGATTGGATGAATGGTGTCAAACCCCAATCGACTTTTAATTTTTATGTACCGTGTATAGAGAAAAATCAACCCTCTCACCACCCATGGGGCGCCGCCCTTGCAAAAACGATTTTGTTTTTGCAAAAACATCCCCTGGAGTGTTCTATTTATTTCCCCAAAGTTTCATGGCGATCGGATAAGGGGTGTCAAAACGCAATCGACTTTTAATTTTTTGGATACTTTATATAGAAACGCACCCTGCTGGGGCGTCACCGATGCGACTTTAAATTTGTTTACCAAAGAAACCTCCTCAAGAGTATTCTCAACAACTCCCTAAAGATTCATGACAATCGAATGACAAGTATAGTAATGAATAAAAGACAGACAAACAAACACACACACACATAGATTGCTTTATATATATATATATATATATATATATATATATATATATATATATATATATATATATATATATATATATATATATATATATATATGCACTTTACATTTCTATATAAAAGTTATATAATATGGTGAATGAATTTTGCAGAACATGATAATTGTCAATAAGACGTTTGAACTTCTTTGAACATCTTATAAGCTAACCATAAATATATTTCTCTCTCTCCCTCTCTGTCTTTCTCTAATTCTCTCTCTCTCACTCTCTCTCACTCTCTCTCTCTCTCTCTCTCTCTTTATATATATATATATATATATATATATATATATATATATAAATATATATATATATATATATACATATATATATATATATATATATATATATATATATATATATATATATATATATATATATATATATACATATGTATATATATATGTATATGTGTATATATATATATATATATATATATATATATATATATATATATATATATATATATATATATATATACTAGGCATACTGCCTAGCTTCGCTTAGGTTTTCAAAAACATTTGACAATTTGAATACTAATTATTTAGTGATGGATGAGGTGTAGAGTGCTTAAATTTAAACAGTAATGTTAATTTTAGAAAATATTTTTTTTTTCAACTTAATTGCAACTTTTATTCAAAGATAACATCAGAATAAATAGGTTTAATCCAACTTAGCTTGATCTATAAGTGCAGCAATCGCCACAAAAAAAGGGTGGACTGCTAAGAGACTTACATGTATATTACGACGTTTCACTTGTTTTATCTGATGGTGTCTCTCGAAATCCATATGATTTGAATTCATTATTGCAATCAGATATGCCCATTCCAGTACCAATGCCACCTCCCAAAATAACAGGCCACGGTTTTCGCTTGAAAAGTAGTGCTGAAAAGACAATGCCTACTCCCACTCCAGTAACAAACTTTATGAGACCATTGTATAAACAACGGTCGAGCTTTTGACCGTAGACCTCCTCTGACCTTCAGCTTGGACTCGCCATGTTGGCTTATATAGAAAAGATGTAGTTGTATTTTGTTTAACATCCGTTTTCAGATAAAATATTTGAAAGTACGCAATCTATGACTAAAATTGAATTGAAACTACAGAGGTTTCATGAACAGTATATCTTATTTATTTATGTTACACTGACTTTAAAATTATTTTTTTTATTAATTGTAATACGTAGCTTAATTAACAACTTAATTTTTTACTAAAACAAATGCTATACTTTGTCAATTTCTGTTTCTGTTTAAAATAGCGTACAGTTATTTGAAAAATAATTATTTTAAAAAGGTTACCTCCCTTAAAAATGGACCAAATGACGTATGTCATTGTTTATTTATTTTTTTTTACAAACAGTTGCTACGCTTATATAAGAAAAATACGATATCTGAACATATTTAACAACAACAATGGCTTTTTCCGACGGGAATAAAGTTTTTTTATTACCCTCCAGGTTTGTTCTACGACCTCAAATAATATTAAGGGTATCGTTCGTCAATTTATTTGTATATATCTCATATAATGAGATTTTCACTCGCGGTCATGTTTTAGCACTCGTCGAGGGCTTTGAATCAAACCGACAGTTTTCCCAAAAGGTCAAGCCACTTACCTATGAGCATGCAAAGTTCTAATTGCGTCTGAAAAAAGGTCTAGATCTAGATAGAATTATCTAGATCTAGATTCTACGACTCGTTTGCTTAAGTCTTGAGTCTAGTTGTTGCGTAACTCTTGCTAGATCTAGATCTAATCATTAGACCTATTCTAGCTAGATAGATCTAGATCTAGATAGATAAATCACAAAGATTTATATCAAATATTTAAGGACTAAAAATGTATTATGATTATAAAATGGATTGTATTTTAATCTAATTAATCTTTGGTTTGTATCTAATTAATCTTTGGTTTGACCTAGATTCTAGATCTAGATCTATAAATAATTTTCTTGGCCACCTGATATTTAGATCTATAAATAAATAGATAACTTTCTTGGACAGATTGTAGAGATAGAGAAATTTATTGTAAAACAAAATGAAAAAGACAATTGAAAATTTATGTAAGTGTTGGAACGTAATAAAAACAACAAACAGACGTATTGTGAAAGTTATGGCCGACAGAAAATTAGCTTTAGAACGCGTTAAACTTTTGAATGGGCCACAAAGTCTATGATGGAAGCCGCCATCTTATTGTACTAAAAAATAAACAAATCATGTGACGTCACTATTCAGTCAAGGTAAAGTCATTGTTTGAAAAATTTAAATTAATGTGATTAATCTACCAATGAATAAATTAATAAATTAATTAACGTCTTTAAATAAAGTTGTGATTAACAGTCTGTCTGAAAAGAAAAAAATGTTCTCTACCTACATACTATTTCACAGCTCTCCACCTAGCGCCGATTCTCTCCAGTATTCAATCAGACAAACAAAAAAAAATATTGAAACTTGTAAACAAACTTGATTTTTAGTAGTATAGAGATAAACTCATGTCACTTTTAATACTGTTGCTTTAAAAGAGTACGAAGTTGATGCCTAATGGTGTAACCCAACTCCCATCTGGAGACCACGATGACGTTCTCGTCCAACACAGCACTGAGCAGCTCGTCAGGTAAATGATGCAGGTGTTGTTTGTGGACCATGACGACGATTCTAGACGGGTTGGCAGGTGTCTGGGAGTAGATAGCACACCTGATGGTAAACCACATCCAGTCGTCTGCTCTGAGAAAGTTTTCGTTGAATACCAAGATAATTCTCCAGCTGGAGTTGACGGCCTCTACAAGTCCCCGCGCCACGTCACTCGAAGGTAAAAGGTCACGGTCACGTACAAACGCCTTCAGGCCAAGAGTTGTTTCAACATAAGGCAAGAGCAGGTCACAGGTGAACTTGTAATCTTGGTCAGCGTATCCGATAAAAACACCGTTTGCGTAGTCAGATTGTTTTTTATACTGGAAACTGCCAAATAATTTCATAAGGTATGACATTATATAGTTTGAATTTTTAGTTGATATAAAAAACGTTAAAAATCCAATTCCAATGGTAGTGGCTATAACCAAACTCGAAAAGAAATAAACCTCTCCAACACATAGTCGCCAAAACGTGTTGAGATCCTGATAGAGCAACGTGTGAGTCAACACCCCGTCTTGGTCCATGCACGTGTAGTTCCTGTTGTTGTCTAAAGTCACGAGTGAGTTCTGTAGCCAGGCCAGGAACTGGATGTTCTCACAATGGCAGGAGAAGATGTTGCCATCAAGATTAAGTTTAAAGTATCCGTTTCTGTAGACCAAATCATCAAGTTTATCCCGAATCGGTTTATTTATTGTTGTGAGGACATTGTCACACATATCTAGTACCATGAGGTTTGGAGTTAATGATACATCTAGTGGGATGTGCATGAATCTGTTGTTAGCCAAATTGACGCCTTTTAAATTCTTGTTGAACTTAAATGTATCGGGTTGTAGGAGGTTCAGGCTGTTTGATGATATGTCGACAAATTTAAGATATGTTAACTTAAGAAAATATCGGCTACCTTTAAAACATATTAAGGCGCTATGCAGATTGCATGTTGACATTGCTATTTTTTCCAAAAGTGGGAACTCGTCGAAAAAGTTTTCTCTGATTAGGCTCAAATCATTTGCAGAGACGATAACAGTTTTAAGTGAGTTCAAGCCAACCACGGGGTATTTAAAGTTTGACAATCCACACTCTGAAATGTCAATGTATTCTATATTGTATCCATCCTGAAAAGATATACCAAACTGCATGATGTAATAGCCAAACAGTCTTCGAATTTTGACGAATTTTAGAGATGCGGATAGTTTAACACACACAAAGCCTATGGAGACATTTTTACAGTTTACTCCCGTAATTTTATGAGCTGATAAAATATCTATGTATTTCCATGAATTTTTATTACTTAAACCGTGTGTATCTTGTACAGCAATAGCCATCTTCTCAGCATAGACAGCTTCCGGGGCTTCCCAAAACAGCGATAGTCTAAATTTAGATTTGAATGTATCTGAGACATCTACATACTGTATGTTGCTGAATCTGAGAAATTGCAAGTTAGAAAATATTTGACCAATCACAGGGTTTTCGGACAAGTCAAGCTTCTTCAGGCATTGTTCCCAGGTGGGGCTGTACATGGCGTTCACATAAACTAAGATTAAGTAGCTGGAGGTTATTGTGACCTCCTGCACGCAGACCTTCGTTAGAAATGAGGTGAGGTTTCTACTGAGTACACTTTCGCCATTAATTACTGATACATCCAGTCTATATTTATTAATAGCTATATCATCTAGGGCTATAATGCTCATGTTTCTGTCTTCTAGACAGTGAAACAACTTAAGTGCTGAACGTATGCCTATTGGCGTGTGCTTGATTGCTAGTATGTTCAGGTGTTTTATTGTACACAAGCAGTTTTGGTTGATACGTGTTAAATTTCGCAAATCTGTTAAAATTAATTCTTTAATACCAGGGACCGTTTGGAAGCTGGAGTGTTCTATATGATTGGTTGTTCCAGATAAAATTAATGTAGAAAGATTGTGCAGCTGCATAAACTCATCTCCCAGAGAACTCTCATTCATATCCCATGTTAATAATACAAGCGACGGCGGGAAACTAATCTTATTGGTATATGCATCTACCGATTGGACATTTTGATTCTTGATATAAAGTTTTTGCAACGTTTTTAAATGGTTAAATACATTTGAAACGTTGAAGACAATTCTGTTGTTTTCCATGCTTAATATCTCCAAGTTTTTTAGCCCAATAAATGCATCTTCTGTAATATTTGATATGTCATTGTTAGATAGGTTTAGAATTTTTAGTTCATTTAAATTTGAAAACATTCCAAAGTTCAATATTTCAATTTTGTTGTTATTTAACAACAGAACAGTTGCGTTCGAGGGGAACCAGCACTCTTCTATGTCTTGTAAATGTCTATAGCTGCAGTTGAGCAATGTCATAGATTGATTCACAACAATTTCACAAGGAGAGATGCAAGCTGATGATAAATCGGACACGCCAGTTTCTTCGTTTTTAGCTGTTTTAAGGAAATTATTCTGGTTTCTTTTCTCCTTTGCTAATTTAAACAGTGTAGCTGTATTGTTATTCTTGAACTGATCAAGTGAGGGAAGCTCAGACAAGATGATTTCCATATTATATAAGCTCCATATATTTAGAAAAAATAAATAATATATCACGTTACAAAAATACATGTTTTCAATTGTAAATTGACGTAAATAAAATCAGTTATTGAAATATCCGCTTTTTGTTTTTCATTCAGCAGTCATCTGTAACAAAAAATGAAAACAATAAATATTATTTTTTAAATTTAAAAACGTAAAGCACACATGTAATTAATTAATAAAACCTGACTGAAGTAGATATATATATATATATATATATATATATATATATATATATATATATATATATATATATATATATATATATATATATATATATATATTTATATATATATATATATATATATATATATATATATATATATATATATATATATATATATATATATATATATATATATATATATATATATATATATATATATATATATATATATATATATTAGTTTAAATAAGCAGAAAATTGATTTAACAGTATTAGAAATATAAATATGTAACATTCAACGTTAACGATGTATATTGGTATACATCAAGTATTTCATGATTTCGTTGTATAGCCTAATGTTAGGTTGAAATTATAATAAACTAATAAAGCTGATGCCTTTTACTTGCCACAATGTAATTTACGAAAACGATTAATCCAACACAGTCCTGAATATTTTTCAAAAAAGCTTTACTTCTTGAAACTGATCTTCAAGAATAGTAAAGAACACATTCCACACACAGACGTTACGTCTAGGTTTAACCCTGACCTACATGTTTTGTGTAGAATACACCTAGGCTTAAGCTGCATTTTTTTTTTACTGGAGTGAACTAGGTCACAACCTATATAATTTGAAAGGACGCATAGACTCCCGTATAAGAAGAAAGGTAAACTCGAAAGCCCGTGGTTGCAACTGGTGTGGTGTTACAACTTAACTGAACTGAAGCTAAATCTTATGTTTTAATATAGCTATTTACAGGTTAGCTACACATTTATTCATAAGGCTAAATCGATATTGACACACATGCAGTCACGTAGTTAACACTTGGTACGGTTTAAACATGTAGATACTATTAAACCTAGTTTAAGAGATGGTTAAATTGTATTTTAAATTATGAAAACAATTAATTAATATAAAAAGTATTAATTGTTTACGGCTATATTGGAATGATTTTAAAAAATAAACAAATCTTTTGCTATATTATAGTTTACTATATTTTCTGTCCTGCCGCATCTTACGTTCCCCATTTCAATCATTTAAAAAGTTTAAGACAACGTTGTGTTGCAATAATTTGTGCTATCGAAAATATAAATGCAATTTTGCTTTTAAAATTACTGTCGCTTTTGCTATTAACTAAAGTTCTATTGTCAATATATATATATATATATATATATATATATATATATATATATATATATATATATATATATATATATATATATACAGAGGCGTAGCGAGGGGGGCGGGGGTTGCGGATAGCACCGGGTGACACCATTTAGGGGGTGACACCAAGGAAAAAAATAGCTAAATTTATAGAGATAAACTTGAAGGGGGGGGGGTGGGGACAAATCGAAAGTTTGAGAGGGGTGCAAATAGAAAGTTTGCGGGGGTGGGGTGCAAATAGCAAGGTTGAGGAGGGGGGTGCAAATCGATAATTTGAAAGTTTGTCCCCGGGAAGGGTCGCTACACCTTTGGGGGGTGACACCATTAAGTGCCGCACCGGGTGACAACCGACCTCGCTACGCCACTGTATATATATATATATATATATATATATATATATATATATATATATATATATATATATATATATATATATATATATATATATATGTGTGTGTGTGTGTGTTCGAAACATGTTGCGTGAGGTATATAAAGTGGGAGTGTGATACCTAAGGAAGAATGATAACCATAAAAATAGAAGAGTAATATTTGTAAGACACTCTATGTAATTTCAACTTACATCAGAAACAGTTGATGGCACTGTAAGCTCAATCCAGAACTTAAGAGACTTCTAAAAGGGCTCATGGAAACAGATTTTATGTTTATTTAAAACATTCAATTTCCGATAATTTTTATCACATTACAAAAAAACTGATCGGCCTATTATTAAATTTAAAAAAAAAACGTTTATACTGTTTCGCATGTCTTTTTCTCACTCTCCTGCCTCGTATCACACCAATATGATGATTTATACATTTCTGATTGGATCATCTAAAAATAGATGTTAATTGCATCATTTGCAATGTGATAACACTGTTTATTTTTCGAAAAAAAGGAAACAATTCAGTTAATAATCTAACCTTGGTTAATTTATGTGACTATTTAAAAATATATTACAGGGAGCTCAGCGGCCTATGTGAGCCTTTGGGGCCGAATCTGAAATTATTGATCGAAGCCAATTCGCAGAAACAATCTCGAGAGTATTTGTCAACTCCCATAAGTTTTATGGCACTCGGATAAACGTTCTCGAACCATATTCGACTTTATTTTTTTTTCGTATATAAAGAAAAATCGCATACTCCAGGGGTGCTGCCCTAGCTAAATTGTTTTTTTTTTAATAAACTTCAACTGGAGTGTTTTAATTAGCTCCCCAATGTTTGCTCTCGATCGGATGAAACCCAATCGACTTTTATTTGTATGTACCGTGTATAGAGAAAAATACCCCCCCCTCTCCCATCCATGGGGTGCCGCCCTTGCGAAAATAATTTTATTTTTGCAGAATCCTTCACTGGAGTGTAATAATTAACTCCCCAAAGTTTTATGGCGATCGGATGAGCGGTGTCAAATCGCAATAGACTTTTTTTTAATATACTATACTCCGTATAGAGAAAAAAAATCTCGGCTGCCTGGGCGCCACCCCTGCGAATTTGCATTTGCTTACCGCAGATACCTCCCCAGGAGTATTCTCAACAGCTTCCCAAAGTTTCATGGCAATCAGATGACAGGTATAGTAATGTACAAAAGACAGACTACCAAACAGACACGTGCACACGGCTTGTCCTATTTAATATTCCAGGAATCATTATGTCAAATTGTTTTTTTTTTTACTAGCATTACAAAACAGATTCTATTGCGTCATTTGTTTTTAGTTGTATTGCTTGTATATTTTATTTTTTTGTTTGTTTAGAGTGATTTTGTTTTGTTGTCCTACGATGTGATTTTGTTCTTATTTCTTCAGCGAACTACTTTCAATGTATTTTACATCACAACAAAGCAATGATATGCAGCTATTATATTAATATATATATATATATATATATATATATATATATATATATATACGAGAAAAATGGCCCGTTGAGGAAGGATACACCGGGCGCTAGGTTGATAGTGCTGTCTCTTTTCTCTAAACTAAAACCAACCCACCCCCCCCCCCACACACACACACCACCCCCCACCCCACACCCCCCACACCACCCCCCCCCCCCACCCACCCCCACCCCACCCCCACCCCACCCCCCAAAAAACATGTCTACCTTCCCATTCAACGAAATATAATTATATACTTTTTCCAGTGTCCGCCCCCTCCCCGAAAATTTTACCCCCGCCCCCGAAAATTTCAAGTACCCCCACCGCTCTCCGGGGAGGAAAAAGTCTGAAAGAAACACTGGTGTCGCGCTTAGCCACTACGCGAAGAATTGCATTAAACAAATTGCGAGAAAACCACTTTTTAGATTAGACACATTAATTAGGCGGTAATTTTATTATAGAGTATCGATGAGGAAACCACCGCCCCACCCCCCCCCCCCCACTCACACCTCCCCCCCCAACCCCCCCACTCCCCACCCCCCACCCCCCACTCCCAAAAAAAACATGTCTACCGTCCCATTCAACGAAATATAATTATATACTTTTTCCAGTGTCCGCCCCCCCCTCCCCGAAAACTCTAACCCCGCCCCCGAAAATTTCAATTACCCCCCCCCCTCTCCGGGGAGGAAAAAGTCTGAAAGAAACACTGGTGTCGCGCTTAGCCACTACCCGAAGAATTGCATTAAAGAAATTGCAAGAAAACCACTTTTTAGATTAGTCACATTAATTAGGCGGTAATTTTATTATAGAGTATCGATGAGGAAATTTCTTTTGAGTTGGGGAGGGGGGGGGGGGCTCAGACGTTCTTACGCGGGGGTGGGGCTTCGCCCCTACCCGAAGAATTGTATGAAAGAAACTCTTCACGCAAACCATTTAGATTAGACAAAATTTCCTTTTCATTCAATGTTTACTCGATAATTAATGTCGTCATTTTACTGTGTGCACTCTCTGGTTTGAGATTATGTTCTACTCTATGCTAAATGTGTCGACGTCATACTTCGTTTTCGTTTCACTGTGAGTTTTTAAATTCCTTGTGTTTTCTCTAGAGCGTTCTTGTCAGACAGATAGATAGATAGATAGATAGATAGATAGATAGATAGACAGACAGCGAAACTATTAGTATTAATATATATATATATATATATATATATATATATATATATATATATATATATATATATATATATATATATATATATATATATATATATATAATCGAAATAATTTGACCCCCCCATCCACATGAAACGATCAGTTCCCATATAGCTAAGATGGTAGTGTAACGGCTACCATGCAGGTGGTACGGGTTCGAGACAGATCACGACATTTATTTTTTTCTTCAACTTTTGTTTTTTCAAACGTGAATGATGAAGTTGACTACCGGGACCTCGCGGGACGCCGGGCAGGTGAAGTAGAGTTCTAATGTTTCTTTGCTATCAGCATATGAAGGGATAGTGTAGACACTGGGCAAGTGAAGTAGAGTTGAGAAGGTCACCTGTGACGTCAGTATATGAAAGGATAGTGTGGTTAGATCCATGCTCAGCCGAAATCGGTGTATTTTAAAAGATAAAAAAAACGTCTTTTTGAATGTGGGGTATGGTTATTTTATGATGATAAGTGACAGAGGTTATGTCAATAATGGATTACCCCGAAACCTACAGTTATCTAACTAGATAACGGGTAGTCTATTATACTACTAAAACACAAGTTTGT